TGTCTGTCCTGTAGGGTGCTGGTGTCACCAGGTCCCTGTCTTTCCTGTAGGGTGCTGGTGTCACCAGGTCCCTGTCTGTCCTGTAGGGTGCTGGTGTCACCAGGTATGTGTCTGTCCTGTAGGATGCTGGTGTCACCAGGTCTGTGTCTGTCCTGTAGGGTGATGGTGTCACCAGGTCCGTGTCTGTCCTGTAGGGTGATGGTGTCACCAGGTCTGTGTCCGTCCTGTAGGATGCTGGTGTCACCAGGTATGTGTCTGTCCTGTAGGGTGATGGTGTCACCAGGTCCGTGTCTGTCCTGAAGGGTGATGGTTTCACCAGGTCCGTGTCTGTCCTGTAGGGTGAATGATGTCACCAGGTATGTGTGTGTCCTGTAGGATGCTGGTGTCACCAGGTCCGTATCTGTCCTGTAGGGTGATGGTGTCACCAGGTCCGTGTCTGTCCTGTAGGGTGATTGTGTCACGAGGTCTGTGTCTGTCCTGTAGGATGCTGGTGTCACCAGGTCCGTGTCTATCCTGTATGGTGCTGGTGTCACTACGTCCGTGTCTGTCCTGTAGGGTACTAGTGTCACCAGGTCCGTGTCTGTCCTGTAGGGTGCTGGTGTCACTACGTCCGTGTCTGTCCTGTAGGGTACTAGTGTCACTACGTCCGTGTCTGTCCTGTAGGGTGCTGGTGTCACTAGGTCCGTGTCTGTCCTGTAGGTTGCTGGTGTCACTACGTCCGTGTCTGTCATGTAGGGAGCTGGTGTCACGAGGTCAGTGTCTGTCCGTTTCACCTCACCACAGTCGCGACCTACGACAAGCATAGTCGCTTCTTTCGTCAAGGATGGGTTGCCGAAGACCAGTTATATCCCGGAAGTTCCCAGATGCATAACATAACTTAAAAACATGATGTGTGCCCTGAACAACTATTAACCAATTATTTTATAAAATTGGATTGAGACTAGTTTTCGGATTTGCGACAACCTGCATATCCTGGCTCACTTCACGCAACTCTGCACCTCAATCAAAATCCAGTGGTTCGCATACCACATTACATTCAGAGTGTCCACTCCAAATGTAAATCTAAACCTTTCGAGTAATAGCGACGTCTTGACAAGTGCTTTACCAAGCTGTGAAACACATGTTCAGAATAATATGTAACAAGATGAATATTGACATAATCTTTTTCCTTCCAAACTTTACATGAAGAGGTGTGAAACGTTCAACGATCACGAGTGAGACGCTTACAAAAACAATATGCGCTTGTTTTTCCATATGAAACCAAATAAATACATTTCAACATCGTGATTGGTCAATTATTTTGCAATTAGCTGCATTTTGAGATTTGATGAGTGAGATTTTTGTTAAAATGAGGAGTACATAACAGGTTTTGTCAGCAAACATTTAGTGAAACACACTTCCATGTGAAGCCCTTGCAACATGTTGTGTGAGTAGCTTCGGATTATGTGTTTGTATCAACGTATTACTATGAGGAAATACATCCGTGTTATGAGCTCTGATTGACTCAGCGGGTGTGATAAAGTCCCATCTCGAATCCTGTAGACAATAGCACAAGTCAATAGGGGAAGCTGGACATTAAACATGAAAATACATTTAATACTCGCTCTAAAATGAAACTGATGGGATATGTCGACGGCCTTTTGTATGTGATAAGTATTTGCTCAGCACTCAAACTCGGAGGAAAATGCAAATTAAGCACACAGGATTGAAGTTAATTTATAAAAGAAAGCATATCGCGTTCTAAATATTTGCATAACATTTCAACATAGCTTTTATTCTTTCACTTTCGCAACGGTACAGACAACATAATAGCATGATCGGGACAGGGAACCTCGCACAGAGTGACAGGAGGTTTACACAAATTCAGGTCCAAAGTATCTTTGGCGTCTTTCCAATTCAATTTAAAGTCACCCCCTGGACCCTGCTAAGGTTGAACCTTCCATTGTTTCAAGAACACCTTACATTCATTTGGCACAGCTCAGGCTCAAGTGTTGTAATGAAATGACTTATCGTAGGCAGTGCCCACAAGTAATCCGTTATGTTTCGTGTCAAAAATACTATTTAATTATCATCACAGAAGTATGCGTACAATGCAAACACGGATATAGGACAATGTCAGCCTCTTTAGCTTTCTCTTCTCTGGTCTCTCCGCGTTTGTAGCACTTGAAATAATTGTGCATCTACGGATGTACACCATTCATTGTCAGTGAACTGACTAGTGGAGTCGGATGTTTAACGCTCTCGTGTTGTCACACTGTCAAAGCTATTATTTCATTAATTGTATACAGTTATGTATGTCGTCTTTAATATAGGCATGGCGTGTTTCTAAATGTCGCAGTCGCCTCGCGGAATGTGCTGAAGCCATTTGTCAAGTGAAGAAGACTACAACCCACTGATCTGAAAATTGTGGTTTGCAATCAATCACGGTGGACGGTAGAAAAGTGTACGATCTTGCAACCTTTTACAACAATACCACAGCAGATACCGAGCTCTCAGTCAAAAGTAACCGTTTAATGCCACTTTTATAGGTAACTTACGCAATTAAGGAGTTGCGTGGCCCATAAGTGTGCTAGATCCTTATGATCGTGGATTCAATCATCATCACTGCCATCAACGTCATTACTAGTATTTACAGATTAAAATACAAAATGCAGCCAAGAGGGTTTGGACGATCGTGTCACAGTCAGGCTGGTTAGGCTCATCATCAGCTCAGGGTCCTTACCCCTTCTACTCGCAGTGAGTAGGACTCCTCCCAGGAAGCGCTGCCTAGTCTAACCAACCCAGAACTTTTCGAACATCATGAAGACTTCCCAAAACTGCATCACACAGATTGTCAGAAGGGCTGTATTCATGGTAAAAAAGCGGGAACTCCCCGAATGTCAGTCAACAGATTGAGACGTACTCAAACCTAAAGCACCGAGAACAATTGGGAGTCAGACAACATGGTACTTGGGATGCAAGCGTGACATTTCCAAAGCGAGGTCCGCATATTTGCCATGTTTTTCCTCAATCTTGTCAATCACATTAGTGTCGAAATGGATAGAAAACTCAATGATAAAAATGATTTCATTGGATTCATCAAAAAGGACAAAACCAGGTTTGCTGGACTTGGATACGTCTGAGGCTGTATACAGGCCTATTCAAAAGAAATTTGTATTAATAATTTTCCATGGCGCCCTCTACATATTCTGGGTCGTAGCATGGATTGACCTGTGTGTCAAAACCACAAGCATAACAATGATCGAGCCACTCCATCATGTCGCTTACGATGCTGTGTTTGTGCCACTGACAATGTGTTAGACAGTCTCATTATATTCATTGTGAAGACTACATTTCATATTTACATTTTGATGCAAAATCACACATCGATGGTTTCGAGTGGGAAGTGCCTAGTCCTGAGCAGCAAACAGAAAGCCTTTTGTTTCACTTTACAGGCCAGCCGACTTCATCCAAGCGAGGGGCGGTCGGGTAGACTAGTGGTTAAAGCGGTCGCTCGTCACGCCCAAGACCCGGGTTCCATTCCAAACATGGGAACCATGTGTGAAGCCCATTTCTGGTGTCCCCCGCCATGATATTGCTGGAATATTGCTAAAAGCGGCGTAAAACCTCACTCACTCACTCATCCAAGCGAAAACTCTGCAGGGTTGCTGATCTCCACACACTAAACCAAAACTCGATGCAGTGGTCGTTCAGAAAGCCTCTTTTTGAAAAACTGAGTTTGGGCCGATTTCATATGAAACTTAGCTTGGTTGACACACATTGCTGTACCATCCAGCAGTTCAGAACCATCAACAAAATCAACATTGACATTGATATTACGTCCCACATCCTTGGCTCATTTAAGAAAACTGTGCAACGCTATAGTTTTCACCTCGAGTCGTGACGTTATTATTATCATAATAATAATAATAAGAAGAAGAAGAAGAAGAAGAAAAATAATAATAATAATAATAATAATAATAATAATTATTATTAACAGATTGAAATAAAAAATGCAGCAAAGAGGGTTTTGGTGATCCTGGCACATTCAGGCTGGTTAGGCTCATTATCAGCTCAGGGCCCTTGCCCCCTCTACACGCAGCCCAGACAGCGAATGGGACTTCTCCCAGGAAGTGCTGCCTAGTAAAACCCACGCAGTACTTTTCGGAGAATGTGAAGACTTCCCAACACTACAGCCTTCTGCATTACCCAGGTTGTCAGAAGGGCTTTATTCCATGTAGCAAACCCGGGTACTCTCCCTATGTCAGTCAACAGATTTGGAGGTACTAAACCTAAGGCACTGAGAACAATGGGGAGTCGGACAACTTAGTACTTGGGATGTAAGCATGACATTATGAAAGAGAGGTCTGCATCTTTGCCATGTTTTTCCTCAATCTTGTCAATCACATTACTGCCTAAAGGGACAGAAAATTGAATGATATAAATGATTTCATTTGATTTATCAAAAAGGACAAGATCATGTTTGCTGGCTTGGATATGTCTGAGGCTGTATACGGGCCTTTTCCAAAGGACTTTGTATCTATAATTTTCTATGACGCCCTCTACATGTTCCGGGTGTGTCAAAACCACAAGCATGGCGAAGACGGTAATAAAATGATCGAGCCACCCCATCATGTCGTGTAAGATACTGTGTCTGTGCCAAAGCTGGACATCCATTCACAATGTGTTCGACAGTCTCATTATATTATTATTTACAGATTAAAATTAAAAAATGCAGCAAAGATGTTCGGGTGATCCTGGCTTTATTATTATTATTATTATTATTATTATTATTATTATTATCATAAGTATCATCATTATTATGATTATTATGATTATTATGATTATTATGATTATTATGATTATTGTCACTGGAATGGTGTACGGTTCAACACACTACTTGGTATGTTGCTCCCAATACACTTTGGTTTACATGCTCACTTGAAACTTGACAGTTCTAGGAAGTTAGCAAGTGTACTTTCACCAGAGATCACACTCAACACACCATATAAAATATCCCGTCGGACGGAGCCTTTCACTCTTGTCTTCATGGCAAATTGTGGCTTAATGTGTTTCTGAAACCTGGATATCTTACAAACAGGATGGTGAACTGGTTGGCATGTGTGGTAGTGTGTAATGTTCTGATCGGTGGTATTCATCAAACAAGAGGTAAATTATTTTCTCCTTTATTGCTTTATGTTACTGTATTATTATAAAACATTGAACTAATGCTTACTTCGTGTGCATCGATGACATGTTTCAAAATAATTATATATATATTTTTTTTATTAAGTTGCACGTTGGATCAAGTGGTATGAAAAGTCTTTGGTAATCTATCATAGTTGGGTCTATTTTCATAAACCATCAGAGAAATCGAGTGAGTGTGGTTTTACACCGCTTTTAGCAATATTCCAGCAATATCACGGCGGGGGACACCAGAAATGGGCTTCACACATTGTACCCATGTCGGGAATCGAACCCGGGTCTTCTGCGTGACGAGCGACCGCTTTAACCACAAGGCTACCTGACAGCCGCCCATAAGTAAAAGGTGAGGTGAGGTGAGGTGAGGTGAGGTGAGGTGAGGTTTTATACTAACTTTGAAGATCAGTGTCCATAGGAACCGACAATGTTGATCTTCTGGGGCTGGATGGGGTCTGGGGTTTGTGTGGATGGGTAAAGAAATATAACGAAATATATATTGACAGCACCCACGCAATGCTTCAAACTATGTAGGCGAGAATTCTCCACCCTGTTGAGAAACCACAAACAGGGGAGTTGAGTCAGACGCCATGTTTTTCTTCATCCAATAATATTTTGACCTACATTCAGGTGTAATATTACACAGTGTATCCGCTTCATGATGCCGTCACAAGTCAGCAAAACATATCCAATGGTATATCAAAATTAATATGTTGGCACTGACTTTTATTTCAGGTTGTGGTGGGACCTATAGGCGACAGTCAGGAACGATTACATCCCCAAACTACCCTTACACATATGCCAACCATCTGTCCTGCACATATGTAATTACCCCCAGTAAGCTGATCGGACTTAAATTTGAAACGTTCAACACAGAGAGCAGTTATGACTATGTGAAGGTAAGTACAGCTTATGATATGTTCATGACGATTTAAAACTTGCAATGGCCCACGCAACTGATATGTTCGTATGACTCTTTAAATGTGTTTATCATTCCTGCTTTTACAATCTTTGGTCATAACTTAATGCATTTCAGTTTTCAAGGTATGTACGCGAGGACAATATACTTTAACGGACAGTTTAGAGTAGTAACTATGACATGACAATTCTAAGTAAGGAATTAGCAAAGGGGAACACATTTCTCTCGTGACTCTAATATTTGATAATCTAATGTACACTGTAGCAGGTTTGTTTGTTTATTTGTTTAACGCCAAACTCAGCAATATTCAAGCTTTTTTACTGTAGTTTGTAAATAATCGAGTCCGGACCAGACAATCCAGTGATTGATATCATGAACATCGATCCACGCAAAGGGGATGCGATGACATGCATCAACCAAATCAGCGAGCCTGACCACCGAGTCTCTTTGGTCGCTTCGAACGACAAGCATTGTCGCCTTTTATGACAAGCATGGTTTCCTGAAGACATATTCTAACCCGGATCTTCACAGGTGTATGCGACATGTGAAGTGACGGTCATTCGATAGACACATAGTTGGTATAGTTGTAGTTAACATAATCATATTTACCCTGCAAAGACTGTAATCAGGTCAGCAGCACAAATATCTGTCAATATGCGTAGATTTCTTCCTGAACGTGTACTGCCAAAATCATTCATGATTGTGACGTATAATTTGGATGCTTTGAACATACTATTTTATCAGCTTCGATGGCACACGGCATGAAATAGTTTATGTGATTGAATACATGCAAAACTCAAGTTTTGAAACTAAAACAGTTTTATTACCCTATAGAAAGAACCCTGGGGTTGATCGTCCACGAAACCGAACATTCACTTCACCATAGGATGTGTCTATGTGTATACTCCTACCGCATTAAATGCCTGTTCAGTTTTAAGAACAAAATATGCATTTCAATATCTCAAACATGGACAATATAATTATTATTCAGAGAACATCTCCACAATTTTAGCCGTACCTTGATGTTGGTAGTGAATGCCAGCAAAGTCAATAATGACTCCATTCAAATTACTCCCTTGCAGGTGTACGATGTCTCCAACAACCTGCTGGTATCTCTGTCTGGTTCACACAATGGCTACACAGTCCCGTCGTCCACCTACTACCGTGTGGAATTTACAACAGATTATTCGATAGGATCTTCCGGCTTCAGAGCTGTATGGATATGTATGTACTTTCACACACAGACTATAAAATATGTTACGTCTATGTCACTATGTCACTTCGTGTTACCTCTATGACACTATGTCACTTCGTGTTACATGTATGTCACTATGTCACTTCGTGTTACGTCTATTTCCCTATGTCTCTTTGTGTTACATCTATGTCACTTCGTCACTTCGTGTTACGTCTATATCACAATGTCACTTCGTGTTACGTCTATGTCACTATGTAACTTCATGTTACTTCTTTGTCACTACGTAACTTCGTGTTACGTCTATGTCACTACGTCACTTCGTGTTATGTCTATGTCACTATGTCACTTTGTGTTACGTCTATGTCACTACGTCACTTCGTGTTACGTTTATGCCACTAAGTCAATTCGTGCTACGTCTATATCACTATATCACTACGTGTTACATCTATGTCACTATATCACTTCGTGTTACGTCTATGTCACTATGTCACTTCGTGTTACGTCTATATCATTATATCACTTCATGTAGGTCTATATCACTATATCACTTCGTGTTACGGCTATATAACTATGTCACTTCGTGTTACATCTATGTCACTATGTTACTTCGTGTTACGTTTATGGCACTATGTCACTTCGTGTTACGTCTATGTTACTATGTCACTTCGTGTAACGTCTAAGACACTATATCACTTCGTGGTACGTCTATGACACCACTCTGTCACTTCGTGTTACGTCTATATCACTATGTCACTTCGTGTTACGTCTATATCACTGTGTCACTTCGTGTTACGTCTATATCATTATGTCACTTTGTGTAACGTCTATGTCACTATCTCACTTAATGTTACGTCTATATCACTATGTCACTTCGTGTTACGTCTATATCACTATCTCACTTCGTTTTACGTCTATATCACTATGTCACTTCGTGTTACGTCTATGTCACTATGTCACTTCGTGATACGTCTATGTCACTACGTCACTTCGTGTTACGTCTATATCACTATGACACTTCGTGTTCCGTCTATATCACTATGTCACTTCGTGTTACGTCTACAGCACTATACCACTTCGTGTTACGTCTATATCACTACGTCACTTCGTGTTACATCTATGTCACTATGTTACTTTGTGTTACGTTTATGGCACTATGTCACTTCGTGTTACGTCTATATCAATATGTCACTTCGTGTTAAGTCTAAAACACTATGTCACTTCGTGTGGAATTTACAACAGAGGTGTCGGTAGGATCTTCCGGCTTCAGGGCTGTATGGAGATGTATGTACTTTCACACACAGACTATAACATCTTTAGAGTATTACACATTTGACGTGAAGCATTCTTATAGAAAATGCTAATGTGTGGAACCTGGTAATTGGTTACAACTCCACAACCATCTGTCACGTTACGTCAATGTCACTTCGTGTTACGTTTATGTCACTACGTCACATCGTGTTACGCCTATGTCACTATATCACTTCGTGTTACGTCTATGTCACTACGTCACTTCGTGTTACGTCTATATCATTATATCACTTCATGTTGGTCTATATCACTATGTCACTTCGTGTTACGTCTATATCACTATATCACTTCGTGTTACGGCTATATAACTATGTCACTTCGTGTAAAATCTATGTCACTATGTTACTTCGTGTTACGTTTATGGCACTATGTCACTTCGTGTTACGTCTTTGTTACTATGTCACTTCGTATAACGTCTAAGACACTATATCACTTCGTGGTACGTCTATGCCACCACTCTGTCACTTCGTATTACGTCTATATCACTACGTCACTTCGTGTTACGTCTATATCATTAAGTCACTTCGTGTTACGTCTATATCATTATGTCACTTTGTGTAACGTCTATGTCACTATCTCACTTAATCTTACGTTTATATCACTATGTCACTTCGTGTTACGTCTATATCACTATGTCACTTAGTGTTATGTCTATATCACTATGTCACTTCGTGTTACGTCTATGTCACTATGTCACTTCGTGATACGTCTATGTCATACGTGACTTCGAGTTACGTCTATATCACTATGACACTTCGTGTTATGTCTATATCACTATGTCACTTCGTGTTACGTCTATGGCACTATATCACTTCGTGTTACGTCTATATCACTACGTCACTTCGTGTTACATCTATGTCACTATGTTACTTTGTGTTACGTTTATGGCACTATGTCACTTCGTGTTACGTCTATATCACTATGTCACTTCGTGTTACGTCTATATCACTACGTCACTTCGTGTTACATCTATGTCACTATGTTACTTTGTGTTACGTTTATGGCACTATGTCACTTCGTGTTCAGTCTAAAACACTATGTCACTTCGTGTGGAATTTACAACAGAGGTGTCGGTAGGATCTTCCGGCTTCAGGGCTGTATGGAGATGTATGTACTTTCACACACAGACTATAACATGTTTAGAGTAATACACATTTGACGTGAAGCATTCTTATAGAAAATGCTAATGTGTGGAACCTGGTAATTGGTAACAACTCCACAACCATCTGTCACGTTACGTCAATGTCACTTCGTGTTACGTTTATGTCACTACGTCACATCGTGTTACGCCTATGACACTATGTCACTTCGTGTTATGTCTATGTCACTACGTCACTTCGTGTTACGTCTATGTCACTATGTCACTTTGTGTTACGTCTATGGCACTATGTCACTTCGTGTTACGTCTATATCACTATGTCACTTCGTATTACGTCTATATCACTATCTCACTTCGTGTTACGTCTATATCACTATGTAACTTCGTGTTACGTCTATGTCACAATGTCACTTCGTGTTATGTCTATGTCACTATATCACTTCGTGTTACGTCTATGACACTATGTCACTTCGTGTAACGTCTATATCACTACGTCACTTCGTGTTACGTCTATATCACTATGTCAGTTCGTGTTACGTCTATATCACTATGTCACTTCGTGTTACGTCTATATCACTATGTCACTTTGTGTTACGTCTATATCACTATGTCACTTCGTGTTACGTCTATGTCACAATGTCACTTTGTGTTACGTCTGTGTCACTATGTCACTTCGTGTTACGTCTAAGACACTATATCACTTCATGTTCCGTCTTTATCACTATGTCACTTCTTGTTACGCCTATGACACTATGTCACTTCGTGTTAAGTCTATATCACTATGTCACTTCGTGTTACGTCTATATCACTATGTCACTTCGTGTTACGTCTATATCACTATGTCACTTCGTGTTACGCCAATGTGACTATGTCACTTCGTGTTGCGTCTAAAACACTATGTCACTTCGTGTGGAATTTACAAGAGATGTGTCGGTAGGATCTTCCGGCTTCAGGGCTGTATGGAGATGTATGTACTTTCACACACAGACTATAAGTTGTTTATAAAATTACACATTTGACATGAAGCATTCTTATAGAAAATGCTAATGTGTGGATCCTGGTAATGGGTTACAAATCCACAACCATCTGTCACGTTACGTCAATGTCACTTCGGGTTACGTTTATGTCACTACGTCACATCGTGTTACGCCTATGACACTATGTCACTTCGTGTTACGTCTATTTCCCTATGTCTCTTCGTGTTACATCTATGTCACTTCGTCACTTCATGTTACGTCTGTATCACTATGTCACTTCGTGTTACGTCTATGTCACTATGTAACTTCATGTTACTTCTTTGTCACTATGTCACTTCGTGTTACGTCCATGTCACTACGTCACTTCGTGTTACGTCTATGTCTCTATCTCACTTCGTGTTACGTCTATATCACAATGTCACTTCGAGTTACGTCTATGTCACTATGTCACTTCGTGTTACATCTAAGACACTATATCACTTCGTGTTACGTCTTTGACACTATGTCACTTCGTGTTACGTCTATATCACTATGTCACTTCGTGTTACGTCTATATCACTATGTCACTTCGTGTAACGTCTATATCACTACGTCACTTCGTGTTACGTCTATATCACTATGTCACTTTGTGTTACGTCTATATCACTACGTCACTTTGTGTTACGTCTATGGCACTATGTCACTTCGTGTTCCGTCTATATCACTATGTCACTTCGTGTTACGTCTATATCACTATATCACTTCGTGTTACGTCTATATCACTACGTCACTTCGTGTTACATCTATGTCACTATGTTACTTTGTGTTACGTTTATGGCACTATGTCACTTCGTGTTACGTTTATATCACTATGTCACTTCGTGTTCAGTCTAAAACACTATGTCACTTCGTGTGGAATTTACAACAGAGGTGTCGGTAGGATCTTCCGGCTTCAGGGCTGTATGGAGATGTATGTACTTTCACACACAGACTATAACATGTTTAGAGTAATACACATTTGACGTGAAGCATTCTTATAGAAAATGCTAATGTGTGGAACCTGGTAATGGGTTACAACTCCACAACCATCTGTCACATTACGTCAATGTCACTTCGTGTTACGTTTATGTCACTACGTCACATCGTGTTACGCCTATGACACTATGTCACTTCGTGTTACGTCTATTTCCCTCTGTCTCTTCGTGTTACATCTATGTCACTTCGTCACTTCGTGTTACATCTATATCACTATGTCACTTCGTGTTACGTCTATGTCACTATGTAACTTCATGTTACTTCTTTGTCACAACGTAACTTCGTGTTACGTCTATGTCACTACGTCACTTTGTGTTACGTCTATATCACTATATCACTTCGTGTTACGGCTTTATAACTATGTCACTTCGTGTAACATCTATGTCACTATGTTACTTCTTGTTACGTTTATGGCACTATGTCACTTCGTGTTACGTCTATGTTACTATGTCACTTCGTGTAACGTCTAAGACACTATATCACTTCGTGGTACGTCTATGCCACCACTCTGTCACTTCGTGTTATGTCTATATCACTACGTCACTTCGTGCTACGTCTATATCACTGTGTCACTTCGTGTTACGTCTATATCATTATGTCACTTCGTGTAACGTCTATGTCACTATCTCACTTAATGTTACGTCTATATCACTATGACACTTCGTGTGACGTCTATATCAATATGTCACTTGGTGTTACGTCTATATCACTATGTCACTTCATGTTACGCATATGTGACTATGTCACTTCGTGTTACGTCTATATCACTACGTCACTTCGTGTTACGTCTATGTCACTATGTCACTTTGTGTTACGTCTATATCATTATGTCACTTCATGTGACGTCTATGTCACTATCTCACTTAATGTTACGTCTATATCACTATGTCACTTCGTGTTACGTCTATATCACTATCTCACTTCGTGTTACGTCTATATCACTATGTAACTTCGTGTTACGTCTATGTCACTATGTCACTTCGTGATACGTCTATGTCACTACGTCACTTCGTGTTACGTCTATATCATTATGTCACTTCGTGTAACGTCTATGTCACTATCTCACTTAATGTTACGTCTATATCACTATGACACTTCGTGTGACGTCTATATCAATATGTCACTTGGTGTTACGTCTATATCACTATGTCACTTCATGTTACGCATATGTGACTATGTCACTTCGTGTTACATCTATGTCACAACCTCACTTAACATTACATCTATGTCACTTCGTCACTTCGTGTTAAGTTCATGGCACTATGTCACTTCGTGTAACGTCTATATCACTACGTCACTTCGTGTTACGTCTATATCACTGTTGTCACTTCGTGTTACGTCTATATCACTATGTCACTTCGTGTTATGTGTATGTCAGTATATCACTACGTGTTGTATCTATGTCACTGTATCAGTTCGTGTTATGTCTATATCACTATGTCACTTCGTGTTACGTCTATGTCACTATATCACTTCGTGTTACGTCTATGTCACTATGTCACTTCGTGTTACGTCTATATCACTATATCACTTCATGTAGGTCTATATCACTATGTCACTTCGTGTTACGTCTATATCACTATATCACTTCGTGTTACGTCTATATAACTATGTCACTTCGTGTTACATCTATGTCACTATGTTACTTTGTGTTACGTTTATGGCACTATGTCACTTCGTGTTACGTCTATGTTACTATGTCAGTTCGTGTAACGTCTAAGACACTATATCACTTCGTGGTACGTCTATGACACTATGTCACTTCGTGTTACGTCTATATCACTACGTCACTTCGTGTTACGTCTATGTCACTATGTCACTTTGTGTTACGTCTATATCATTATGTCACTTCATGTGACGTCTATGTCACTATCTCACTTAATGTTACGTCTATATCACTATGTCACTTCGTGTTACGTCTATATCACTATCTCACTTCGTGTTACGTCTATATCACTATGTAACTTCGTGTTACGTCTATGTCACTATGTCACTTCGTGATACGTCTATGTCACTACGTCACTTCGTGTTACGTCTATATCACTATGACACTTCGTGTTCCGTCTATATCACTATGTCACTCTTGTTACGTCTATAGCACTATATCACTTCGTGTTACGTTTATGGCACTATGTCACTTCGTGTTACGTCTATATCACTACGTCACTTCGTGTTACGTCTAAGACACTATGTCACTTCATGTTATGTCTCTATCACTATGTCACTTCGTGTTCAGTCTAAAACACTATGTCACTTCGTGTGGAATTTACAACAGATGTGTCGGTAGGATCTTCCGGCTTCAGGGCTGTATGGAGATGTATGTACTTTCACACACAGACTATAACATCTTTAGAGTATTACCCATTTCACGAGAAGCATTATTATAGAAAATGCTAATGTGTGGAACCTGGTAATGGGTTACAACTCCACAACCATCTGTCACGTTACGTCAATGTCACTTCGGGTTACGTTTATGTCACTACGTCACATCGTGTTACGCATATGACACTATGTCACTTCGTGTTATGTCTATGTCACTACGTCACTTCGTGTTACGTCTATGTCACTACGTCACTTCGTGTTACGTGTATGTCACTATGTCACTTCGTGTTACGTCTATGTCACTATGTCACTTCGTGTTACGTCTATGTCACTACGTCAATTCGTGTTACGTCTATGTCACTATCTCACTTAATGTTACGTCTCTATCACTATGTCACTTCGTGTTACGTCTAAGACACTATATCACTTCGTGTTACGTTTATGTCACTACGTCACTTCGTGTTACGTGTATGTCACTATGTCACTTCGTGTTACCTCTATGTCATTATGTCACTTCGTGTTACGTCTATGTCACTACGTCAATTCGTGTTACGTCTATGTGACTATGTCACTTCGCATTACGGTATGTCACTATGTCACTTCGTGTTACGTCTATGACACTATGTCACTTAGTACTACATCTATGCCACTATGTCACTTCGTGTTACATCTTTGTCGCTATGTCACTTGGTGTTACGCCTATGTCACTACGTCACTTCGTGTTACGTCTATGTCACTACGTCACTTCGTGTTACGTCTGTGTCACTATGTCACTTCGTGTTACATCTATGTCACTATGTCACTTCGTGTTACGTCTGTATCACTATGTCACTTCGTGTTACGCCTATGTCACGCTGTCACTTTATGTTACGTCTATGTCACTACGTCACTTTCTGTTACGTCTATGTCACTATGTCACTTCGTGTTACATCTATATCACTTTGTCACTTCATGTTATGTCCATATCACTATGTCACTTCGTGTTACGTCTTTGTCCAATATTTCACTTTGTGTTACGTCTATGTCACTACTTCACTTCGTGTTACGTGTATGTCACTATGTCACTTCGTGTTATGTCTATGTCACTACTTCACTTCGTGTTACGTGTATGTCACTATGTCACTTCGTGTTACGTCTATGTCACTACGTCACTTCGTGTTACGTCTATATCACTATGTCATTTCGTGTTACGTCCGTGTCACTACGTCACTTCGTGTTATGTCTATGTCATTATGTCACTTCGTGTTACGTCTATTTAACTATGTCACTTCGTGTTACGTCTATGTCACTATGTCACTTCGTGTTACGTCTATATCACTACGTCACTTCGTGTTACGTCTATGTAACTATGTCACATCGTGTTACGTCTATGTCACTATGTCGACATATGTGGGGCGGTGGGGTAGCGAAGTTGTTAAGGAATTCGATCGTCACGCCGAGGCCCTTGGTTCGATTCCTCAGGTGGGTACAATGTGTTAAGCCAATTTCAGGAATCCCAGGAGTGATAATTTTGGAATATTGCTAAAAGCAGTGCAAAACTACACGCATTTACTCCAAATATGTATGGGTAGTATACCGATATGATTCACTGCATGGAACCAGAGCGTCCTGACTATAGAGACGGTTGATGACATAAGAAAGTCATTATGTTACCATGCTAAAGTATAAACATAAGACAAAAGCTTTGATAACTCTATAAACATGTCACGTAAACTATTATTGCTTGCTGTTGACTGTCAGAAAGAAGGTTATAGTGATTAGGTTAAAGGTTTAGTTGATATGTATATTATTATGATGATACATGTTAACTATTTATAGTATCAATAGTTGAACATGCTCACATATTTTATTGTCACAGCTGCTCCTACGATATCTGGTCTACCTTCCACATACCGAGTGAACAAGTCCAGTAGATTGCGGCTAGACTGTAGTTTCTACACACGGTCAGCTACAACACCTACATACAGGTGGACGAACAGAGGGTTAACTGTTAGCACAGGGGCCGTACTCAACATAGTCAACATCAACAAGAATCAAGCTGGACGGTACACCTGCACTGCCACGGACACAGTGGGGGCTGACTCAGCAGCTGTCAATGTGGTGGTACAATGTGAGTAGTAGTATGACTTAATGTAGCCTGCAAACACTGGTGGTGGTACAATGTGAGTAGCAGTATACCTTAATGTAGCCTGCAGACACTGGTGGTGGTACAATGTGAGTAGCAGTATACCTTAATGTAGCCTGCAGACACTGGTGGTGGTACAATGTGAGTGGCAGTGTGACTTATGCAGTTCGCAGACACTGGTTGTGAGTGGGAGTGTGACTTAATGTAGCCTGCAGACAATTGTGGTGGTACAATGTGAGTAGCAGTATACCTTAATGTAGCCTGCAGACAATGGTGGTGGTACAATGTGAGTGGCAGTGTGACTTATGCAGTTCGCAGACACTGGTTGTGAGTGGGAGTGTGACTTAATGTAGCCTGCAGACAATTGTGGTGGTACAATGTGAGTAGCAGTATACCTTAATGTAGCCTGCAGACAATGGTGGTGGTACAATGTGAGTTGCAGTGTGACTTATGCAGGTCGCAGACACTGGTTGTGAGTGGGAGTGTGACTTAATGTAGCCTGCAGACACTGGTGGTGGTACAATGTGAGTAGCAGTATACCTTAATGTAGCCTGCAGACACTGGTGGTGATACAATGTGAGTAGCAGTATACCTTAATGTAGCCTGCAGACACTGGTGGTGGTACAATGTGAGTAGCAGTATGACTTAATGTAGCCTGCAGACACTAGTTGTGGTACAATGTGAGTGGGAGTGTGACTTAATGTAGCCTGCAGACAATTGTGGTGGTACAATGTGAGTAGCTGTATGACTTAATGTAGCCTGCAGACACTGGTAGTGGTACAATGTGAGTTGCATTGTGACTTATGCAGGCCTCAGACGCTGGTGGTGGTACAATGTGAGTGGGAGTGTGACTTAATGTAGCCTGCAGACAATGGTGGTGGTACAATGTGAGTGGCAGTGTGACTTATGCAGGTCGCAGACACTGGTTGTGGTACAATGTGAGTGGGAGTGTGACTTAATGTAGCCTGCAGACAATTGTGGTGGTACAATGTGAGTTGCATTGTGACTTATGCAGACCTCAGACGCTGGGGGTGGTCCAATGTGAGTGGCAGTGTGACCAAATGTAGGATTCAGACACAGGTGGTGGTACAATGTGAGTGGCAGTGTTATTTATGTAGGCCGCAGACGCTTGGGGTGGTACAATGTGAGTGGCAGTGTGACCAAATTTAGGATGCAGACACAGGTGGTGGTACAATGTAAGGGGCTGTGTGATTTATGTAGTCCGCAGACGCTGGGGGTGGTACAATGTGAGTGGCAGTGTGACCAAATGTAGGGTGCAGACACTGGTGGTGGTACAATGTGAGTGGCAGTGTGACTTAATGTAGGGTGCAGACACTGGTGGTGGTACAATGTAAGGGGCAGGGTGACCTAATGTCGGGTGCAGACACTGGTGGTGGTACAATGTGAGTGGCAGTGTGACCAAATGTAGGTTGCAGACACTGGTGGTGGTACAATGTGAGTGGCAGTGTGTCTTAATGTAGGGTGCAGACGCTGGTGGTGGTACGGTGTATATGCTCTTGTTCAGGGTTACATGCATACATGGTATCGCCAAACATTCGGATTGTATAGATTAGTTGTTACACAAGCACATGGTCGTTGATGTGTCGCCTGTAGCATGCACATCATGAAAAAATGTGTGTATTTTATTCTGTTAAAGAAAACGAGTTATGAAGTCCGGTGATTTATTGCTGCACATGTGCTGGGGAAGCTGGTAAGATATTTCGTGCTCACCGATAACCTGGGATCTAAGGAAGCTTATTATATATATATTATTATATACAAGGAATTGTGATATGTTTAATCTTTTAAAACGTATTTGCGATTTCCTATGTGTAACCGTCATCGTTATGAACACTGCTCTTTGTTTGCACAACATTGAATTAATATACCAATAATAATCTTTCACTTGGTTCAAATTAAGATTATGTCAATGTCCAAACACACCCATGATAGCACAATCACAAGTGAAAACGTATTTTCAATGTAAAAAATGGAATCATTTGAAAAACAGGAACATCTTGCATCCATAAATCGGAATGGTTCTTGAGCACTGTTGTTAAAGCCTCTAGATTCACCATTTTTAAATCATGGAAGAGGAAATGATATGTTCACTCTTGTAAAGCTTGTTTGCAATGTCCTATGTGTAACCATCCCAATAATGAACACTGCTCTTGGTTTGCACAACATTATTTAATGAGTTATTTGTAAATTAGGAACAATCATTATAAATTACCTATAAGAGTAACTGGATTAATGAACCAATAACAAACTTTCATTTGGTTCAAATTAAGATTATGGTAATGTCGAAACACACCCATACAAGCCCAAACACACTTTGTCTCAGTAGAAACGTATTTTTCACTGTAAAGATTGGACGCGTTTGAAAAACAGGAACATCTTTGCATCTGTAAATCGGAATGGTTCTTGAGCACTGTTGTTAACGCCTCTTGCTTGTAGATTCACCTGCCATATCTGGCCTCCCATCAACATACCAATTGAATGAGTCAGCTACTTTAAGACTGGACTGTAGTTCATATACAACACATGGCAACCCTTCTGCAACAACCTACAGTTGGTCACATGGAGGATCATCTGTCACTAGAGGAGCTGTACTGACAAGAAGCAGCATCAATAGGAGTAAGGGAGGGGAATACAGTTGTACTGCCAGTAACACAGTAGGATCAGACATTGCCTCCGTCAACGTAACCATACTATGTAAGCATATTTCGTTTACTTCTTTTCGAGGCATAGAAGAGGAAATTGTGATATGTTCAATCGTGTTAAGCTTATTTGCAATGGCTCATGTGTAACCATCGCCATAATGAACACTGCTCTTAGTTTGCACACACCCATACAAGCCCAAACACACTTTGTCTCAGCAGAAACGTATTTTTCACTATAAAGATAGGAAGCATTTGAAAAACAGGAACATCTTTGCATCTGTAAATCGAAATTGGTCTTGAGCACAGTTGTTAACACTTCTTGCTTGTAGATTCACCTGCCATATCTGGCCTCCCATCCACGTACCAAGTGACTGAGTCAGCTACTTTAAGACTGGACTGTAGTATATATACAACACATGGCAACCCACAAGCAACAACCTACAGTTGGTCACATGGAGGGTCAACTGTCAGTAGAGGAGCTGTACTGACAAGAAGCAGCATCAATAGGAGTCAAGGAGGGGCGTACACCTGTACTGCCAGAAATACAGTAGGATCAGACTCTGCCTCCGTCAACGTGACCATACTATGCAAGCATATTTCGTTTACTTCTTTTCGAGGCATAGAAGAGGAAATTGTGATATGTTCAATCGTGTTAAGCTTATTTGCAATGTCCTATTGTAACCATCGCCATAATGAACACTGCTCTTGGTTTGCACAATATTATGTAATGAGTAATTTGTAAATTAGGACCAATCACCATATATTAACTATAAGAGTAACTGGATTAATGAACTAATAACAAACTTTCATTTGGTTCAAATTAAGATTATGGTAATGTCGAAACACACCCATACAAGCCCAAACCCATTTTGTCTGAAGAGAAACGTATTTTTCACTGTAAAGATTGGACGCATTTGAAAAACAGGAACATCTTTGCATCCATAAATCGGAATGTTTCTTGAGCTCTGATGTTAACGCCTCTTCCTTGTAGATTCACCTGACATATCTGGCCTCCATTCAACGTACCAAGTGACTGAGTCAGCTACTTTAAGACTGGACTGTAGTTCATATACAACACATGGCAACCCTTCTGCAACAACCTACACTTGGTCACATGGAGGGTCAACTGTCAGTAGAGGAGCTGTACTGACAAGAAGCAGCATCAATAGGAGTAAGGGAGGGGAATACAGTTGTACTGCCAGTAACACAGTAGGATCAGACATCGCCTCCGTCAACGTAACCATACTATGTAAGCATATTTCGTTTACTTCTTTTCGAGGCATAGAAGAGGAAATTGTGATATGTTCAATCGTGTTAAGCTTATTTGCAATGGCTCATGTGTAACCATCGCCATAATGAACACTGCTCTTAGTTTGCACACACCCATACAAGCCCAAACACACTTTGTCTCAGCAGAAACGTATTTTTCACTATAAAGATAGGAAGCATTTGAAAAACAGGAACATCTTTGCATATGTAAATCGAAATTGGTCTTGAGCACTGTTGTTAACACTTCTTGCTTGTAGATTCACCTGACATATCTGGCCTCCCATCCACGTACCAAGTGACTGAGTCAGCTACTTTAAGACTGGACTGTAGTTCACACACAACACATGGCAACCCTTCTGCAACAACCTACAGTTGGTCACATGGAGGGTCAACTGTCAGTAGAGGAGCTGTACTGACAAAAAGCAGCATCAGTAGGAGTCAGGGAGGGGCGTACACCTGTACTGCCAGAAACACAGTAGGATCAGAATCTGCCTCCGTCAACGTAGACGTAAGATGTAAGCAAATTTTGTTTACTTCTTTTCCAGGCATGGCAGAGGAAATTGTTATAGTTCCAAACGTATTTGTAATGTTATCTGTGTAAGCATCATCATTATGAACAACGCTCTTGGTTTGAACATCATTTATTAATAAGTAATTTCTAAGTTATGATTAATCGTTATATATTCTAAACAAAACTGTATGAACAAAACACATAACAATTATTGTTTGAATTTGTTGAATATTTGAACGCATGTTGATTTGTAAACGAACCTAAGACACCTAAAACACCTATAACTTAATAGAAACTTATGTTTAACTGCCATTTTCACGTATCCAGTCTCTGAAGTAGCGCAACTACACAAACACATCTTGTAAACCTCCAGTGATGCATTACCATTGTTACAGCAGGTTGTTCTTTTCTCCGAAACTCCCTCTGCCCACGGGATTCTCGAGCTGTGCGCTTTTGACTGAGAACTTTCGAGTGCTACAATTGAAATTTCAGAATTAAAGTATGTCAATTAAACAAAAATGCATCTTCATATCTGTCGGTTTATAAGTCAGATATAAACTTTCTCATATGGCTAACCGTGAAAATAATGCACTCCAGCTCAAGGAACATCCGTTGGGCCTACGGCCTGCGGGCTTTTCCTTTGCCGGACTGCATTATTTTCACGGATAGCCCGCACAGGCCTTTTATATCCTATATTTAGGGAACCCCGGAGATAATTTTCACATTCGTGAAGATATGTTAATTAAACATAAAGGAGCAGTAGGAAAGTATGTCATAGTAAAGAGTTGATGCATTTGAAAGACTTGGACGTCCTTGCATCCATAGATATAATTGGTTCTGGACCAGTATTGATGCATCTTCTTGCTTGTAGATTCACCTGATATATCTGGCCTCCCATCCACGTACCAAGTGACTGAGTCAGCTACTTTAAGACTGGACTGTAGTTCATATACAACACATGGCAACCCTTCTGCAACAACCTACAGTTGGTCACATGGAGGGTCATCTGTCGGTAGAAGAGCTGTACTGACAAGAAGCAGCATCAGTAGGAGTCAGGGAGGGGCGTACACCTGTACTGTCAGGAACACAGTAGGATCAGACTCTGCCTCCGTCAACGTGACCATACTATGTAAGCATATATTGTTTACTTCTTTTCGAGGCATAGACGGGGAAATTGTGATATGTTCAATCGTGTTGAGCTTATTTGCAATGTCCTATGGGTAACCATCGCCATAATGAACACTGCACTTGGTTTGCACAACATTATCTAATGAGTAATTTTTAAATTAGGACCAATCATTATATATTACCTATAAGAGTAACTGGATAATTGAACCAAAAACAAACTTTCATTTGGTTCAAATTAAGATTGTGTTAATGTCGAAACGCACCCATACAAGCCCAAACACACTCTGTCTCAGTAGAAACGTATTTTTCACTATAAAGATAGGAAGCATTTGAAAAACAGGAACATCTTGCACCTGTAAATCGAAATTGGTCTTGAGCACTGTTGTTAACACTTCTTGCTTGTAGATTCACCTGACATATCTGGCCTCCCATCCACGTACCAAGTGACTGAGTCAGCTACTTTAAGACTGGACTGTAGTTCACACACAACACAGGGCAACCCATCTGCAACAACCTACAGTTGGTCACGTGGAGGGTCATCTGTCGGTAGAGGAGCTGTACTGACAAGAAGCAGCATCAGTAGGAGTCAGGGAGGGGCGTACACCTGTACTGCCAGAAACACAGTAGGATCAGAATCTGCCTCCGTCAACGTAGACGTAAGATGTAAGCAAATTTTGTTTACTTCTTTTCCAGGCATGGCAGAGGAAATTGTTATAGTTCCAAACGTATTTGTAATGTTATCTGTGTAAGCATCATCATTATGAACAACGCTCTTGGTTTGAACACCATTTATTAATAAGTAATTTCTAAGTTATGATTAATCGTTATATATTCTAATCGAAACTGTATTAACAAAACATATAACAATTATTGTTTGAATTTGTTGAATATTTGAACGCATGTTGATTTGTGAACGACTCTAAGACACCTAAAACACCTATAACTTAATAGAAACTTATGTGTAACTGCCATTTTCACGTATCTAGTCTCTGAAGCAGCGCAACTACACACACACATCTTATAAACCTCCAGTGATGCATTACCATTGTTACAGCAGGTTGTTCTTTTCACCGAAAATCCCTTTGCCCACGGGATTCTCGAGCTGTGCACTTTTGACTGAGAACTTTCGAGTGCTACAATTGAAATTTCAGAATTAAAGTAATGTAAATTAAATAAAAATGCATCTTCATATCCTTCGGTTTATAAGTCAGATATAAACCTTCTCCTATGGCTATCCATGAAAATAAGGCACTCCAACGCAGGAACATATGTTGGGCCTACGGCTTGCGGACTTTTCCTTTGCCGGACTGCATTATTTTCACGGATAGCCCACGGAGGCGGTTTATATCCTATACTTAGGGAATCCAGGAGATAATTTTCACATTCGTGAGGTATGTTAATTAGACAGAAAGGACCGGTATGTCATAGTAAAGAGTTGATGCATTTGAAAGACTTGAACATCCTTGCATCCATAGATATAATTGGTTCTGAACCAGTATTGATGAATCTTCTTGCTTGTAGATTCACCTGAAATATCTGGCCTCCCATCCACGTACCAAGTGACTGAGTCAGCCACTTTAAGGCTGGACTGTAGTTCATATACAACACAGGGCAATCCTTCTGCAACATCCTACACTTGGTCACATGGAGGGTCAACTGTCGGTAGAGGAGCTGTACTGACAAGAAGCAGCATCAGTAGGAGTCAGGGAGGGGCGTACACCTGTACTGTCAGAAACACAGTAGGATCGGACTCTGCCTCCGTCAACGTGACCATACTATGTAAGCATATTTCGTTTACTTCTTTTCGAGGCATAGACGAGGAAATTGTGATATGTTCAATCGTGTTAAGCTTATTTGCAATGTCCTATGTGTAACCATCGCCATAATGAACACTGCTCTTGGTTTGAACACCATTTATTAATAAGTAATTTCTAAGTTGTGATTAATCGTTATATATTCTAATCGAAACTGTATTAACAAAACATATAACAATTATTGTTTGAAATTGTTGAATATTTGAACGCATGTTGATTTGTAAACGAACCTAAGACACCTAAAACACCTATAACTTAATAGAAACTTATGTTTAACTGCCATTTTCACGTATCCAGTCTCTGAAGCAGCGCAACTACACACACACATCTTATAAACCTCCAGTGATGCATTACCATTGTTACAGCAGGTTGTTCTTTTCTCCGAAAATCCCTCTGCCCACGGGATTCTCGAGCTGTGCGCTTTTGACTGAGAACTTTCGAGTGCTACAATTGAAATTTCAGAATTAAAGTAATGTCAATTAAACAAAAATGCATCTTCATATCTGTCGGTTTATAAGTCAGATATAAACCTTCTCCTATGGCTATCCGTGAAAATAATGCACTCCAGCGCAGGGACATCCGTTGGGCCTACGGCCTGCGGGCTTTTCCTTTGCCGGACTGCAATATATTCACAGATAGCCCGCACAGGCGGTTTATATCCTATACTTAGGGAATCCCGGAGATAATTTTCACATTCGTGAAGATATGTTAAATAAACAGAAAGGAGCAGTAGGAAAGTATGTCATAGTAAAGAGTTGATGCATTTGAAAGACTTGGACATCCTTGCATCCATAGATATAATTGGTTATGGACCAGTATTGATGAATCTTCTTGCTTGTAGATTCACCTGAAATATCTGGCCTCCCATCCACGTACCAAGTGAATGAGTCAGCTACTTTAAGACTGGACTGTAGTTCATATACAAGACAGGGCAACCCACAAGCAGCAACCTACAGTTGGTCACATGGAGGGTCATCTGTCGGTAGAGGAGCTGTACTGACAAGAAGCAGCATCAGTAGGAGTCAGGGAGGGGCGTACACCTGTACTGTCAGAAACACAGTAGGATCAGACTCTGCCTCCGTCAACGTAACCATACTATGTAAGCATATTTCGTTTACTTCTTTTCGAGGCATAGACGGGGAAATTGTGATATGTTCAATCGTGTTAAGCTTATTTGCAATGTCCCATGTGTAACCATCGCCATAATGAACACTGCTCTTGGTTTGCACAACATTATTTAATGAGTAATTTGTAAATTAGGACCAATCACTATATATTAACTATAAGAGGAACTGGATTAATGGACCAATGACAAACTTTAATTTGGTTCAAATTAAGATTATAGTAATGTCGAAACACACCAATACAAGCACAAACACTTTGTTTCAATAGAAACGTATTTTTTACTTAAAAGATTGGAAGCATTTGAAAAACAGGAAAATCTTTGCATCCGTCAATCGAAATGGGTCTTGAGCACTGTCGTTAACACTTCTTGCTTGTAGATTCACCTGAAATATCTGGCCTCCCATCAACGTTCCAAGTGACTGAGTCAGCTACTTTAAGACTGGACTGTAGTTCATATACAACACATGGCAACCCTTCTGCAACAACCTACAGTTGGTCACATGGAGGGTCATCTGTCGGTAGAAGAGCTGTACTGACAAGAAGCAGCATCAGTAGGAGTCAGGGAGGGGCGTACACCTGTACTGTCAGAAACACAGTAGGATCAGACTCTGCCTCCGTCAACGTGACCATACTATGTAAGCATATATCGTTTACTTCTTTTCGAGGCATAGACGGGGAAATTGTGATATGTTCAATCGTGTTAAGCTTATTTGCAATGTCCTATGTGTAACCATCGCCATAATGAACACTGCTCTTGGTTTGCAGAACTTTATTTAATGAGTAATTTGTAAATTAGGACCAATCACCATATATTAACTATAAGAGTAACTGGATTAATGAACCAATAACAAACTTTCATTTGGTTCAAATTAAGATTATAGTAATGTCAAAACACACCCATACAAACCCAAACCAATTTTGTCTCAAGAGAAACGTATTTTTCACTATAAAGATTGGACGCATTTGAAAAACAGGAACATCTTTGCATCCATAAATCGGAATGGTTCTTGAACTCTGTTGTTAACGCCTCTTGCTTGAAGATTCACCTGCCATATCTGGCCTCCCATCAACATACCAAGTGACTGAGTCAGCTACTTTAAGACTGGACTGTAGTTCATATACAACACATGGCTACCCTTCTGCAACAACCTACAGTTGGTCACATGGAGGGTCAACTGTCAGTAGAAGAGCTGTACTGACAAGAAGCAGCATCAGTAGGAGTCAGGGAGGGGCGTACACCTGTACTGCCAGAAACACAGTAGGATCAGATTCTGCCTCCGTCAACGTAGACGTAAGATGTAAGCAAATTTTGTTTACTTCTTTTCCAGGCATGGCAGAGGAAATTGTTATAGTTCCAAACGTATTTGTAATGTTATCTGTGTAAGCATCATCATTATGAACAACGCTCTTGGTTTGAACACCATTTATTACTAAGTAATTTCTAAGTTGTGATTAATCGTTATATATTCTAATCGAAACTGTATTAACAAAACATATAACAATTATTGTTTGAAATTGTTGAATATTTGAACGCATGTTGATTTGTAAACGAACCTAAGACACCTAAAACACCTATAACTTAATAGAAACTTATGTTTAACTGCCATTTTCACGTATCCAGTCTCTGAAGCAGCGCAACTACACACACACATCTTATAAACCTCCAGTGATGCATTACCATTGTTACAGCAGGTCGTTCTTTTCTCCGAAAATCCCTCTGCCCACGGGATTCTCGAGCTGTGCGCTTTTGACTGAGAACTTTCGAGTGCTACAATTGAAATTTCAGAATTAAAGTAATGTCAATTAAACAAAAATGCATCTTCATATCTGTCGGTTTATAAGTCAGATATAAACCTTCTCCTATGGCTATCCGTGAAAATAATGCGCTCCAGCGCAGGGACATCCGTTGGGCCTACGGCCTGCGGACTTTTCCTTTGCCGGACTGCAATATATTCACAGATAGCCCGCACAGGCGGTTTATATCCTATACTTAGGGAATCCCGGAGATAATTTTCACATTCGTGAAGATATGTTAAATAAACAGAAAGGAGCAGTAGGAAAGTATGTCATAGTAAAGAGTTGATGCATTTGAAAGACTTGGACATCCTTGCATCCATAGATATAATTGGTTATGGACCAGTATTGATGAATCTTCTTGCTTGTAGATTCACCTGAAATATCTGGCCTCCCATCCACGTACCAAGTGAATGAGTCAGCTACTTTAAGACTGGACTGTAGTTCATATACAAGACAGGGCAACCCACAAGCAGCAACCTACAGTTGGTCACATGGAGGGTCATCTGTCGGTAGAAGAGCTGTACTGACAAGAAGCAGCATCAGTAGGAGTCAGGGAGGGGCGTACACCTGTACTGTCAGAAACACAGTAGGATCAGACTCTGCCTCCGTCAACGTAACCATACTATGTAAGCATATTTCGTTTACTTCTTTTCGAGGCATAGACGGGGAAATTGTGATATGTTCAATCGTGTTAAGCTTATTTGCAATGTCCCATGTGTAACCATCGCCATAATGAACACTGCTCTTGGTTTGCACAACATTATTTAATGAGTAATTTGTAAATTAGGACCAATCACTATATATTAACTATAAGAGGAACTGGATTAATGGACCAATGACAAACTTTAATTTGGTTCAAATTAAGATTATAGTAATGTCGAAACACACCAATACAAGCACAAACACTTTGTTTCAATAGAAACGTATTTTTTACTTAAAAGATTGGAAGCATTTGAAAAACAGGAAAATCTTTGCATCCGTCAATCGAAATGGGTCTTGAGCACTGTCGTTAACACTTCTTGCTTGTAGATTCACCTGAAATATCTGGCCTCCCATCAACGTTCCAAGTGACTGAGTCAGCTACTTTAAGACTGGACTGTAGTTCATATACAACACATGGCAACCCTTCTGCAACAACCTACAGTTGGTCACATGGAGGGTCATCTGTCGGTAGAAGAGCTGTACTGACAAGAAGCAGCATCAGTAGGAGTCAGGGAGGGGCGTACACCTGTACTGTCAGAAACACAGTAGGATCAGACTCTGCCTCCGTCAACGTGACCATACTATGTAAGCATATATCGTTTACTTCTTTTCGAGGCATAGACGGGGAAATTGTGATATGTTCAATCGTGTTAAGCTTATTTGCAATGTCCTATGTGTAACCATCGCCATAATGAACACTGCTCTTGGTTTGCAGAACTTTATTTAATGAGTAATTTGTAAATTAGGACCAATCACCATATATTAACTATAAGAGTAACTGGATTAATGAACCAATAACAAACTTTCATTTGGTTCAAATTAAGATTATAGTAATGTCAAAACACACCCATACAAACCCAAACCCATTTTGTCTCAAGAGAAACGTATTTTTCACTATAAAGATTGGACGCATTTGAAAAACAGGAACATCTTTGCATCCATAAATCGGAATGGTTCTTGAACTCTGTTGTTAACGCCTCTTGCTTGAAGATTCACCTGCCATATCTGGCCTCCCATCAACATACCAAGTGACTGAGTCAGCTACTTTAAGACTGGACTGTAGTTCATATACAACACATGGCTACCCTTCTGCAACAACCTACAGTTGGTCACATGGAGGGTCAACTGTCAGTAGAAGAGCTGTACTGACAAGAAGCAGCATCAGTAGGAGTCAGGGAGGGGCGTACACCTGTACTGCCAGAAACACAGTAGGATCAGATTCTGCCTCCGTCAACGTAGACGTAAGATGTAAGCAAATTTTGTTTACTTCTTTTCCAGGCATGGCAGAGGAAATTGTTATAGTTCCAAACGTATTTGTAATGTTATCTGTGTAAGCATCATCATTATGAACAACGCTCTTGGTTTGAACACCATTTATTACTAAGTAATTTCTAAGTTGTGATTAATCGTTATATATTCTAATCGAAACTGTATTAACAAAACATATAACAATTATTGTTTGAAATTGTTGAATATTTGAACGCATGTTGATTTGTAAACGAACCTAAGACACCTAAAACACCTATAACTTAATAGAAACTTATGTTTAACTGCCATTTTCACGTATCCAGTCTCTGAAGCAGCGCAACTACACACACACATCTTATAAACCTCCAGTGATGCATTACCATTGTTACAGCAGGTTGTTCTTTTCTCCGAAAATCCCTCTGCCCACGGGATTCTCGAGCTGTGCGCTTTTGACTGAGAACTTTCGAGTGCTACAATTGAAATTTCAGAATTAAAGTAATGTCAATTAAACAAAAATGCATCTTCATATCTGTCGGTTTATAAGTCAGATATAAACCTTCTCCTATGGCTATTCGTGAAAATAATGCGCTCCAGCGCAGGGACATCCGTTGGGCCTACGGCCTGCGGGCTTTTCCTTTGCCGGACTGCAATATATTCACAGATAGCCCGCACAGGCGGTTTATATCCTATACTTAGGGAATCCCGGAGATAATTTTCACATTCGTGAAGATATGTTAAATAAACAGAAAGGAGCAGTAGGAAAGTATGTCATAGTAAAGAGTTGATGCATTTGAAAGACTTGGACATCCTTGCATCCATAGATATAATTGGTTATGGACCAGTATTGATGAATCTTCTTGCTTGTAGATTCACCTGAAATATCTGGCCTCCCATCCACGTACCAAGTGAATGAGTCAGCTACTTTAAGACTGGACTGTAGTTCATATACAAGACAGGGCAACCCACAAGCAGCAACCTACAGTTGGTCACATGGAGGGTCATCTGTCGGTAGAGGAGCTGTACTGACAAGAAGCAGCATCAGTAGGAGTCAGGGAGGGGCGTACACCTGTACTGTTAGAAACGCAGTAGGATCAGACTCTGCCCCAGTCAATGTGGATGTCCAGTGTATGAATCCTGTGATTAAGTTGTAATAAAGATAAACGAATTCAATATTCATAATAAACTCCAAATGCACTCTGAGCTATTTATGTGCATGTTCAGTGTTGTTATCACAAACACCTTGAGTGTAACTGATCAGATATAGACCTCCCAAATGAATGAAGGAAATGGGTGTTGCGATACATCCCTGACTATTTAAAATAACACATGTACTACTCTAAGAATATGACGTTTATGTATCACCATCAGTATCGTGTATGTATGGTTTCATGTCACAGATCCACCTGTACTCTCTGGTGTTCCACTCGATTACCAAGTGATGGAAAATTCTCCAGTGTCGATCAACTGTACGCGTTACACTTCCCAGGGCAACCCGTCAACAACTAACTACACATGGAGCTATGGGACATCTATTGTTAGTACTAAGGCGGTACTCCAACTAAACAACATTAAAAGAACTGCGAGAGGACAATACACCTGCACTGTCAGCAATGCTGTAGGGAAGGAGGCAGCCTCAGTCACAGTTGATGTTCAGTGTGGGTAGTACTTTTTTCTTGGCATAACTAAAATATATACGAATCAGAGAAACATTGATTTCTCCATGCTCTATTTAAAACGAATCTTAGTTCTACAACACACATATAAGAATGAACACCATGTCATTATCAAATATAGCTAATTAATAAATAAAATTTACAGGCCATCACCACATATCACTTATATGTCATGGTTTGATTTAATTGTTTACTAGGGCGGTCGGGTAGCCTAGTGATTAAACCGTTCGCTCCTTACGGCGAAGACCCGGGTTCGATTCCCGACATTGGCACAATGTGTGAAGCCAATTTCTGGTGTCCCCCGCCGTGATATTTCTGGAATAGTGCTAAAAGCGGCGTAAAACCATACTCACTCACTCACTAATTTTTTACTATCTCAGCAAATGTATATATCATATAATGCGTAAACATTTCTTTTTGTAACAGATTCACCAACACTATCTGGCTTTCCCTCAACCTACCAAGTGATTAAGTCCTCCACATTGTGGATAGACTGTAGCAATTATACAACTGATGGCAACCCTGCTACAACAGACTACTCCTGGGTCTTCAAAGGGTCCACTGTCAGTTCTGGCGCAGTGCTGAGAATAGACGCAATACGTGGGAACCAGGGAGGACGGTACACCTGCACTGCCAGTAACACACTTTCACCAAGTGGAGGGTCTCAACAACAGGGGGCGGCCACAGCGCAGGTGGACGTGGTTGTACAGTGTGAGTAGCATGTTCTGGACGAATGTGGTGTTTAAAGTAAGTAAGCCATCAAGCAAGAAAATACGTACAAAACTCAAGCACTTAACTTCTGTCAGTACTGGGGCTGTTCTTGAGAGAGGCAAACTCATAAAAGAATAAGGAAGACAGCTTGACATTATTCAGATGGATTCCACGACTGGGTATGGCAACAACACAGATCAGTGTGGATATTCAGTGTATACATTTATACAAAACGCTGCATATACTTGTATTTGACATTTAGACATTCATAAGTTCTCCATATTCGAAGTATCCCATATATACAAACAAACATATTTCGCACCGACTTTGTTCCTCCAGATCTTGTTTTATCCCCTCGTCGTTAAGCACCTTAACGCTTTGTAATGAGTAATGTCACCAAACCCCCAATATCCAGCTCTCCCTACAGACACTGTATCCACTAGACCACAGAGACCTGACAGATTAGAATGGTAGACCAAAATCAGTTGTTTTCGAACAAATTTGCATCTGTGCACAGATCAGAAGTTGAAAATAAATATATACTTTTAGATTGAGGTTAGGAAGTTATTTATTTTCAAACTGAATGTTTCCAATGATTAGATGTCCCTTCAATATCTGGTCTCCCGTCTACTCTTTGGGTGGTAGAAGAATCCCAACTGATGATCAACTGCAGTAACTACACTTCACCAGGCAACCCGGCAACAACTAACTACACATGGAGCTATGGACAATCAGTGTTCAGTACTGAGGAAGTACTTCAAATAGACGACGTTAACAGAACTGAAGGAGGACAATACACTTGCACTGTCAGCAACACTTTGACACCATACAGAGGGACTCCACGACAAGGCATTGCTACAGCACAAACCAATGTGGATGTTCAGTGTAAGTCTATTTTTGATAATGCTGCAGCTATATGTCAAATACATTTTGACATTCACATATACATGCATGTATGCAAGTTTGTTATTCATTTATGTGTTTATGTGTATAGGTAGTATGGGTTGGGTTTTCGTTCGTTCCTTCGTTCCTTTGTTCGTTTTTCAATGAGTGATTGAACACGTTTGATATCCACTTCTCCTTTCATCACTTTGGAAACTTAAAGCAGATTAGCGATGATGTGACGTCAATGCATGTGTGGGTGTATAAGTAACTGCGTGTAATAGTTCAAAGTGCCATTTTTTAACTCCCATTCACATCAGAGGTGGTCAACATAATAGATCGGGCGCGAGCGGGTCAGTCGTCTTTGGCGCCGCGATTCGCTGTGCAGAGTTGTGTCCCTTTGGCACGCCATAAACCTATGTTTGTGGGTTCGAATCCTGGTTCACCCGGATTATGTTTCCAGGTTTGTCAGCACCATACCCGTGCTCGTGGGTTTCACCGAAATGGTAAACGTTTGAGACCTGCATCACTTCGGGCTTTCTGTCAGCTGACACGCCGTGATATAACTGGAATAATTTTAAAAGCAGTGTTAAACACCACACTCACTCACTCACTCACTCACTCACTCACTCACTCACTCACTCACTCACTCACTCACTCACTCACTCACTCACTCACTCACTCACTCACTCACTCACTCACTCACTCACTCACTCACTCACGTTTGAAGTGGATGATAAATATACGCTTAGATTTAGGTTATGAAGTCATACATTTCCAATGAACAGATGCTCCTTCAATATCTGGTCTACCGTCTACTCTTTGGGTGGTAGAAGAATCACAACTGATGATCAACTGCAGTAACTATACCTCACCAGGCAACCCGGCAACAACTAACTACACATGGAGCTATGGACAATCAGTGTTCAGTACTGAGGAAGTACTTCAGATAGACAACATTAACAGAACTGAAGGAGGGCACTACGCTTGCACTGTCAGCAACCTTGTTGGGTCGGAGTCTGCTTCCGTCAGTGTCGACGTACAATGTGAGTGGTTTATTGACACTGGTGT